AATGTAAATGCTTATAATTCTTCGAAAGCTCATAACACTGCATAAATACAAACCATGAGAGGGTAAGAGACATTAGTACAGCTGTTTCAGCTGTTCATATGTAACAAAGAAAATAATATTCCAAGGTCCCATTCTTACCCACGTTGGGATGAAGCCCTTGTAGAGTGCCAATGGACCTTCATTCTTCACTGTCTGAAATTGATTAACTTGATATAGTTAGTTTTTCAGAAAATCCACATATAAAGAAATTAAAACAATTCTGACGAGCATTTCATTTGCTATGTTTATGTATATCCAAGTAAAATTGTTTGCATGCTGATAGAATTTTATAATGCCTTGAATTTACATACAAAGGGAGCATATTCTATGTTTATCTGGGTATCAAAATTACATATTACTTGGTAACCAGAGGGATATGAGTAGCTCAAAACTTAAAATTTGAGCTTCCATTCTCAAGCATAGGTCTTAATCTCTTATTATAACTCTACTGTAGTTAAAATTATTCACATTTTTTTCATTCATTCATTAATTTGTTCATTGCTGCAAAAAATGACATACTAACTCACTCTGATTGGCCTTGGCCTTCACCTCATTTGCCAAAATGCATAAGCTTAAGGAAACAGAAAAGAGGAAGTTGTAATACCAGCCACATTTCACCTAATAGCTGGAGCAGCTCTCTTAACAACAAAATCACAGAGAATTAGAACAGAGTAACAACTGTATAAATAAAAGGATTATAAATATAAGAATAAAACTAGATAGGGGATATTTAAAAGTAGTAGGTAATTATGCCGCTGAAGAAGGGGGGAAGGGAAAAACATAAAAATTTTATAAAGAATTGCAAAATAAATTATCAACAGTCAACAAAACCAACTACAATGCAAGAGATTTTAATGCCTGAATAGGTAATAATGCATTAACAGGAATAATACAAAGATGGCTATCTACTGGGTTGTTGCGCCGTTTAGTGGTAGAGTTCCATTACTTCTGACATCTGTCAGAAATGGGATCAACTATTCCCTGTTTTTTTACAGACGTCCTTTTAATTAACAGCTGTGGCCACTAAGTGGACAAGGTCATTCAGAAATTGTATTTACATGTAATGTTCAATAACGCAGTATTTTCGTAATAAAGAAACAAAGCTATTCAATACACTCACATACCTGCACAAGACAATCAATACTTCCTGTATAAATATGACAACCACCACTGCGAACTTCTTTTTTTAGTTTCTTCTGGTTCATCAATCTAGTCTGTTAAAAAAATTATGTACATGAGTGATCATACAGTAAACACTCAAATAGATTTGACTGAAAGAAGGTATTTCTTTTGCACAGACAAAAGTATGTAGAAAATCAAAAAGATCTGATTTATATCTTAACTGCGTCATGTTTGTGTTTAATCAATATAATAATTCATTCACCGTCCATACACAAACTTAAAATGTTGTTAAAATTTACTTAAAATTACATAAAATTACAACATTTTTTAGAATTAGATCTTGATACATTTCATTTCTAATTCTATAAAAAAATGTTGTAATTTTATGTAATTTTAAGTAAATTTTAACAACATTTTAAGTTTGTGTATGGACGGTGAATGAATTATTATATTGATTAAACACAAACATGACGCAGTTAAGATATAA